TAGAAGTTGATAGCGGAGACATATACGTTGAATGGGGCTCAGATACAACTCTGGAATGTATAGCACATGGTGTCGCAAATCCAGGACCGTTAATGTCATGGGAACGAGATGGTAGGCGTCTTCCGACTAATATTTCCCGTATTCATGCAGATTACTCACCGATGTAAGTCCATATGTCTACATATTTTTTATTTCCTTGTTACTGGAGTTATCATGTTTAATTTCTCCAAAACAACTAACGGCCCGATAGACATATTCAATAAGTTGAATTTTAATAAACCAATAAATAATAATGTACTGATAAATTTATTGTAAGTCAAACGTATTTTTAACCCTATTTATATATACAAGCCTATTAAATGAACCTTGGAGTGTCGTTATAAGCAGTGCGTAGCCCCATTAGATACGCGCTCTCGGAAAGAACAGGCCTAAAGCATAACTACGTCAGTTTGAGAAAGATAGTTGTTTATGTTCATATTAAGGAGAGGCATGCAAATATATACCTCTATGGCCACATCTGAGACTACAAAGAAACTTTCCAAAATGTCAATGAAATGTAACAACTGACCAATCACAACAGGGCTGGGGATACGCGCTTGTCCCTAAAAACACACAGTTTGTTCGGTTGGACCTTAGTTAAAATATCAAGGGTGGCGCTTAATGGAATGGTTCATACAGTCTACACGCGACCTTGAAACTTATGTACCTAAAATGTGTAAAAACCGAAAGGTCCACTGATTAATATCAGATAAGATAGTGTAATACATACACCAAGTATCGAAATGCACGCCATTGTGTCGGGATTCCGACACGATGGCGTGCATTTCGATACTTGGAGTATGTGAATAAGTATTCCAAGTGAAATTGTTTGATTATGTTCAGTAACCGCAAAATATTCCCAATTTAAAAAAAATTAATACTAAGGCTAATATACCGTAATCTTGTAATGAAATTATTGTATAAATTCACACTTTTTTTGTTCAAATTTATATTTTTCTAGTAATTTGATCTAGGCAATATATTGTAAATTCAAACCATTTTTAACATTTCTATATTGCCTTCTGAGTGTTTTTATACCAATAAATGAAAATGAAATGAAAATACTATGAGAAGTGACTGATTATCTAAAGAGACAATTGATTCTTTGTTTATCGGTTTCGTTTTCATGAGTAGGCCTGTTTCTAATTTTTGTTTTAATTTTTTTGAGATGACAATCACAGTTTGAATAGTTTGAAAACTGACAAAATTGAATCAAATATGGGGAAAATGCATATAAGGAGAGCACAGAAACAACTGTCAGAATGTAAAACTATAATTGTAATTTCTGTCTTAACCCACGTGATCCTAGGAACATATACAATCTTTTTCATTTTTAGGCCTTTGCGTATTGTTTACTTCATCAACAACATGACAGATGCACATAATGGTGAATATGTATGCACTGTGAATGAAACTTTAGTTCAAAGGGTTAATGTCATTGCAATCGGTAAGAGCATATTTCTCGAAGACAGATATAAAAAAATTCATGATTCCAAAATTGAAGATGGTAGTTATAATACAAAATACTGTTTGTCTGAATAATTAGTTGACTTGAGCTGTCTACACTATCAAATTTTCTTCGGAAAAAAAAATTGCTGCCCATATAATGTATGTTATGCCCATATAATATATTATAGTCATGATATGCCTATATATGGTCATGATGTACTGTATTTATTCATGAATTTTAATGTATTTTAATGTTTACCATGGTGTTCCGTACTGATTTTACATATTGTACATTGTATTATATTTTTAAGTCAAGAGGTTCCCACTTTTGTATTGACCCTCGACCCATGGTTTCCTCTTGGACAGTTTTGTCGAATTTTTAATAAATAAATAAATGTGATGTCATCATGACCATATTTAGGCATGTCATATGTTTTTGTGAAATAGTCTGGACAAGGCTTTAATGAATTTTTCAAAAATACAGCAAAGTTAAATGATGGAGGTAGAAGGTATTATGAGTATTGGCCTCTGTAAAAATTTATCTTCATCTTGTTGGATTTTGATGCAAGGAGAGGGTAATTTAATATATCGGAGAGGGTTAATTGCTTATTCATTTATTTATTTATTTCTGACTTTTGTGTGACTAACACTTTCAGTGACGTAGCACTGGTATCACAAGTGGATCACAAGTAAAAAGAATAAAAGAGAACTAAAATGAAAAAAGAAATTAAACTTAAAACAAAACTAATGAGTAAAAGAAAAACAATATAAAACTTACTGCACCAAAAACAAAATTAAGCTGCTTAAAAGGGGATTGCCGAACCCCTTCGCCCAGCTGTCAGACAAGACTGACAATTCCTAAATAATATATCCTTAACAAACGGTTGCTGTTTGATACCTTTCAGGAATGCCAGAACCATTTATCGTCCCACCTCTCAATCACTCTGTAGTAGAAGGCCAAAACGTCTCTCTCACCTGCAAAGTAAAGGCAAGCGCCGGAACTGTCAAATGGACACGCTATGATCAAGATCTGAACAATTTCACTGCGCTACATAACACGAACAAAACGCATGTACTATTCGACGAGATGGCTAGAGTATCCACACTGACGATCGTGATGGCTGAGCTTAGTGATGAGACGTCTTACAGATGCTACGTAGGTCATACGTTTCAGAGAGGCGATTTAAACTTTGTCGAGGCCTACATCACAGTAATTGTACAACCATTGGGGGATTACCCTGTAATTGAAGAAACAGCAAATGATGACGTGTTCTCTGTACTTGAAGACGATCTGATCAGCGTTACTTGCTCAGTGTACGACGTAAAACCGGCGCCTGAACTGATGTGGACACTGGGAGGAAATATGATTGATGAAAAGTATCAGACGATAGAAGTGGCTGAAGAAGACAGGAGGTTTACTATTAAAAACTCGTTAAAGTTACAGGCACACTCTAGGGACAATTCAAAAGAAATGACATGCATCGCAAAAAGTGACTTCTTCAGTTCTGCGAAGCAATCGATTCAGCTTAACGTTTCGTGTAAGTCATGTCATCATTAAAGACTCTTTATAATGTTTTTGTTTTCATGTAGGCCTATACATACATATTTGTGGCTTGAGTTACAACATATACAGACTAGTTACATTTCGAAATTTAATCAAACACAGCCAACAGTCAAACACTAATAAAACTCTTTTGAAATGACATTTTAAAAAAAGATTATTCGGATAAATTGCAAAATTATTATTATTATTATTATTATTATTATTATTATTATTATTATTATTGTTGTTGTTGTTCATTAGACGCACCCAAGATTTACATCGAACCTGATAGCATCAATATATTGGAGGGTGACAAATTAACCGTCAATTGTAATGGTTCAAGCAATCCGACACATATCACGTACCGCTGGGAGTGCTCGAAACTCAATGGTGATGTCATCCACCAAGTTGGACAGACATTCAGTGTCCATAAAGTTACGTCAGACTTTGATCAGTCAAGTCTTCGTTGTAATGCCAGTAATAGCATCGGTACAAGCCAAGTCGTATTGAAGGCGATCAATATTAGTGGTATGTACACCAACTACTACGAAATAATAAAACAATAATGATATATATTTCGGGAAACGTCAAATGGTTTGCAATTATGTAAGAAATTATGATCCAGTTCAGCTTTGATGAAGGCATATCTGTAGGCATATCTATCGATTTAAAGTCCTTGATAATGGACCCAAACTGACGTAAATTGATAGAAAACACAACACATTTTAAGAAAAGAACTAGGAATTTAATAGTAAACATGTTTCGGGTGTTACTTTTCAACCCATCTTCAGTACAAACAGAAATTACTGATAACGATATGCAAGGTGTATAGAACACCTTGCATATATTAGCACTGCATAATTACAAAGTTGTAAATTTACCGGTAAGTGTTTGAATTGAACGTTGAGATTTGGACTGTTCCATTTAATATGCAGTGATTCTTTTATTCGTAATCTGATATCACTGTTGTCAGTGATGTTAAAACATTTAGTACTAGATAATTTTTTCATTTTTTTATTATTTTCATTTTGATGTTTTAGTAGGCCTATGTGTGAATTTTTGTCTTTGTCAAGGGGGTTAGTCAATCCTAGTAATCAAGTGTCTGCTAGTATAGCCTATATAGGTACACCCACCACATTTGAATTTACACACTACCATAGAGCGGTGATTACTGGGGCTTGTGTCCTTGATACTAAACATATTTTTTTTTACTTTTGTAGTGTTAAGCACAATGTTTACTTTGAATCAATATATTGTTTGCAAATTTATCAATAACATATGAGGGGTAATCCTTTCTTAATGATATCCCTTTTAGATTTTCCAAATCATCATGAAAGCCCTTCCAATGTTAATTCTGTCAATGTGTGTTTTAATTAATCTCAGCTTGTAAAGTTGATGACAAAAACTGCAAAATACCAAGAGGAAATCAGTGAATGTGTTTTTCCTAAATACAGTTGTATTAACTTAAACATCATTCTCTTTATGAATAAGTACGTCCAAAAAACTTAATAAATCTGAAAAACTCTGTGGCGTCGTTTTGGTTATTAAATGCACAAAATGTGTCATCAACATACATACGATAGTGTAGAATATTCGGACATTAGGACCAGAGAACCGTAGTATTTTTCATTAGTTCCCATGAATAGATTCGCTAGATGGGGGCTAGTGGAGATCCCAACTGACACTATCTATTCGTTCAAAAAATGTGTTTCCGTCGTAACTAATATTACTGATTTAGTTAAGTTTTCCTTAGACATTTTTAAATCTTGGTTGTGACTGATTATTGTGTTTACAGCAAGTTTAATAGTTTCTTTAAGAGGAATATTGCTGAACAAGCTCTCTACGTCAAAATAAATTATAATCTTGTTATCCATATTTATAATGCTTACTTCTTTAACAAAACTGGGAGTGTCTTTAGCACTAAATTTGGTGATAATACAATGTTTGAGCAGCTCACTTAAATATTTAGCTCTAGTTGTAATTATATGTGCCAATCGAAGATACTATAGGCCTAAATGGTGGTGTTCCATCCGCTTTTCTCTTGTGCAATTTCGGTAGGCATAGATTCTTGCAGGATTGGGACCTTTTGATATACATTCTTGTAAACTTTATTAGTGATTTGATTTGACTTTATAAGATTCAGTAGTAATTGTGTTAAGCTTTCTTCTCGTTTTATTGTAGGATGATACTAATTAAACGAAATTTAGTTTATTTAGTCACTGATGATTTCCAACTAGCCCTTGTCATATGTCGCCCTGTCTAATATTACTACCCCATTCCCTTTGTTCGCTTCCGTAAAAGTACTAATATAGTTCTATATAAATATATGTAAGCCGTCTGAATGAATGGTTTACAAATTAGTACCCGTTTCTTTTCACAATATTTCATATTCTCAATACAATGCCTGTTTAATTTAATTCATAAATCGTAGTAATTGTTTAAAAAAAAAAAATTTTAAATATGTACTACCTCTAATGACGAACACTGACCTAATGTTTCATACCTTAATTCTCTGCCCTGAAGGTACTGGACCGCAGCTGGAGATAATCCTACCAGTGACGGCGATGTTCCTCCTGTTTGGTTCGGTGACGGTTATTGTGTTGGTGTACCTGCGTAAGAAACGAACGACTATACCTCACATTACACTGGAACGTAAGAATAATAATTTCGTATGGCTTGGGTGCATTTTATTTTCATTTAAGTACATACACTATTAAAGCTGGACGTTTTTTGTAATGTATATTTGTTTCCATGCAGAACAGAAAGAGTTTGACGTGTTCATTTCATACAAAGGTGGAACCGACGAAGAAATCTTTGTTATTCGAATACTCGTTCCTAAGCTAGAAGAATTCGGCTATAAAGTGTGTGTTCATTACAAGCATTTCGTTGGTGGAAAAAGTAAGTAATGTATGCATATTCCTAAAATAAATGAATTGGTTTTAGGTTTGTAGCTTTGGGCAGGTCACTGGAATTTCACAGCAACCGCAATTCAATTAAACCCTGTGGAGATTCGGACTGTAGGAGGTCTTTTTGAAGAGTTGTGCCCTACTGTGTATACTTAATTTAAATTAAAATTGTATATACAGAGATTGGGAGGTTGCCTGTCGGTGTGTTATTTTTTACACAATTCATTACTTTCCCTTTTCCAAGGGGCGATTGTTAAATCATGACTTTTAGTAGAAAGAAGAAAATCCCCAGAAAGGTTTGTAGTAAATTATAAAGGAAGCTTTTACTCTTTAGTAAAGCTGATCAATATAAGCCTTTGACAAAAGAGTATATCTTCTACACGTTTTTTTATGTTTCTCAATATAGCGATCATAGAAAACATCAACGAATCGATCTCTAATAGTCACATGACCATCATCGTCCTATCCCCTGCCTTTGTTGAAAGTGTGTGGTGCAAATTCGAATTCCAATCTGCGTCTACACAAATGCCAAATTTTGAAAATACTGTGATACCTGTCATGTTTGACGACGTCACCCATCTAGCAAACCTTGACAAGACACTTCAGGACCTACTCAAACGCGTCAACTATATCACGTGGCCACGCAATTGTGAAAATGACGACGCGAATGAAAGACAGTTCTGGAAGCTTTTAAGAAAGGCTCTACGCCCTACTGTAAATCCCAGGCTTTGATATTGTGAGAAATATATGTATATATAGCTATAGCATAGTCTCACCTAGATAATGT